AACAGCAAATGTACAACGTTTGGACAAGGTTTTGTCATCATCAGGTACAAAACCTTGTCCAAACGTTGTACATTTGCTGTTGTATTAAAGTTTTTCTTCATTACCCATTCAAGCCGTCTCCAGCGATTATTAGTCTCAAAGTGGGTTCCTCGTCATCGAATTTGGTATAAAGTCCTTTACTCACCACTAATAACCTAAGATACTTTATGTATATGAATATCAGTATTGAGGCGAAGCGATTCGGAGTAATTATCGTTTATTGCAGATGGAGTAGCAAACCAAAGACTAAATTAGAACTCTATGTCGATCAAGGAATCTTTATTTTCTTCACTGAAATTACACGTTTTGGCGAAGTTGACAAATAAAATACATTTCTTGTTTATACTTTCATCACAGGTAAAAACTTTAACATCAGTGTTGCGATTTTCATTCACGATCACGTTCTATTTATAAAATTAACATATACAATAGTTAGATTGTGTGTAATATTAATTTTCAAATTATTTGTAATAATATAAGTTACACCACTGTTGTTGTATTTTCAAATTATTTATGATTATATAAGTTACATCACTGTTGTTGTATTTTCTTCAGACAATAGAAAAGATCCCCGACAAGATCCTTCTAAAGATATTCATTTACCTTCCTCATAAGGAAGTGGGCAGGTTAGCTCGGGTGTGTAAAAGATGGCGTATGATATCGTGTGACTCAAGATTATGGACACACGTGTCTCTGCGGCCAGAGGTCTCTGGTCTCCATGTTTACACAATAGAATCCCTTTTGGCGCTAATTTCTATTCGTTTTGGTAAGTTTTCTGTAATAAAATAATAAAACATATATTTACTTGCGCTCATACACTACAATTATTAACACCAGCGAGATTTATCTTTTACGTTTTATAAACCAATTCTTAATAGCTCAAGAAAATAATGGAAGTTGTGTTTCAAAACTGCAAAGCATTATGAAGTTCAACACGATAAGCATATATAACAATAATAAACAAAAGTGGTTTGAGATTATATACATAAATACATATGTACATATATATATCAAGAGACAAAGGAACTACAATATTGTTCAATAGTTCTAACACATCAAACAAAGGAACTACAACATTGTTCAATAGTTCTAACACATCAGACAAAGGAACTACAACATTGTTCAATAGTTCTAACACACGAGACAAATGAACTATAGTATTCTTCAGTAGTACTAACACACGAGATAAAGGAACAACAACACTGTTCAATAGTTCTAACACATAAGGCAAATGAACTACAACATTGTTCAATAGTTCTAACACAGGAGACAATGGACCTACAACACTGTTCAATAGTTCTAACACATAAGACAAAGAAACTACAACATTGTTCAATAGTTCTAACACATAAGACAAAGGAACTACAACACTGTTCAAAAGTTCTAACACACAAGACAAAGAAACTACAACATTGTTCAATAGTTCTAACACATAGGACAAAGACACTATAACACTGTTCAATAGTTCTAACACAGGAGACAAAGGACTACGATATTGTTCAATAGTTCTAACACACAAGACAAAGGAACTACAATATTGTTCAACAGTTCTAACACATAAGACAAAAGAACTACAACATTGTTCAATAGTTCTAACACATAAGGCAAATGAACTACAACATTATTCAATAGTTCTAACATATAGAACAAAGACACTACAACACTGTTCAATAGTTCTAACACATAAGGCAAATGAACTACAACATTGTTCAATAGTTCTAACACATCAGACAAAGGAACTACAACATTGTTCAATAGTTCTAACACAAAAGGCAAATGAACTACAACATTGTTCAATAGTTCTAACACATCAGGCAAAGGAACTACAACACTGTTCAATAGTTCTAACACATAAGGCAAATGAACTACAACATTGTTCAATAGTTCTAACACATTAGACAAAGGAACTACAACATTGTTCAATAGTTCTAACACACGAGAGAAAGGAACTATAACACTGTTCAACACATAAGACAAAAGAACTACAATATTGTTCAATAGTTCTAACACATAAGACAAATAAACTAGAACATTGTTCAATAGTTCTAACACATAAGACAAAGGAACTACAACATTGTTCAATAGTTCTAACACATAAGACAAAAGAACTACAACATTGTTCAATAGTGCTAACACATAAGACAAAGGAACTACAATATTGTTCAATAGTTCTAACACATAAGACAAAGAAACTAGAACATTGTTCAATAGTTCTAACACATAAGACAAAGAAACTAGAACATTGTTCAATAGTTTTAACACATAAGACAAAGGAACTACAACATTGTTCAATAGTTCTAACACATCAAACAAATGAACTACAACATTGTTCAATAGTTCTAACACAGGAGACAAAGGACTACGATATTGTTCAATAGTTCTAGCACACAAGACAAAGGAACTACAATATTGTTCAACAGTTCTAACACATAAGACAAAGGAACTACAACATTGTTCAATAGTTCTAACACATAAGACAAAAGAACTACAACATTGTTCAATAGTGCTAACACATAGGACAAAGGAACTACAACACTGTTCAATAGTTCTAACACATAAGGCAAAGGAACTACAACATTGTTCAATAGTTCTAACACACGAGAGAAAGGAACTACAACACTGTTCAATAGTTCTAACACATAAGACAAAGAAACTAGAACATTGTTCAATAGTACTAACACATAAGACAAAGGAACTGCAACATTGTTCAATAGTTCTAACACATCAGACAAAGGTACTACAGCATTATTCAATAGCTCTAACACATAAGACAAAGGGACTACAACATTGATCAATAGTTCTAACACGTAAGACAAAGGAACTACAACATTGTACAATAGTTCTAAAACATAAAACAAAGGAACTACAACATTGTTCAATACTTCTAACACAAAAGGCAAATGAACTACAACATTGTTCAATAGTTCGAAAACGCAAGACAAATGAACTACAATATTGTTCAATAGTTCTAACACATAAGACAAAGGAACTACAACATTGTTCAATACTTCTAACACAAAAGGCAAATGAACTACAACATTGTTCAATAGTTTTAGCACACGAGACAAATGGACTACAACATTATTCAATAGTTCTAACACACTAAATAAAGGAGTTTCAACATTGTTCAATAGTACGAACACGCAAGACAAATGAACTACAATATTGTTCAATAGTTCTAACACATCATACAAAGGAACTACAACATTGTTCAATAATTCTAACACATAAGACAAAGGAACTACAACATTGTTCAATACTTCTAACACAGGAGACAAATGAACTATAACATTCTTCAATAGTTCTAACACATAAGACAAAGGAACTAAAACATTGTTCAATAATTCTAACACATTAGACAAAGGAACTACAACATTGTACAATAGTTCTAAAACATAAGTCAAAGGAACTACAACATTGTTGAATGGACCGGTCTATTCAACAATGTTGTAACTCCTTTGTCTTATGTTTTAGTACTATTCAACAATGTTGTAGTTCCTTTGGCTTATGTGTTAGGTCTATTCAACAATGTTGTAGTTCCTTTGGCTTATGTTTTAGTACTATTCAACAATGTTGTAACTCTATTGTCTTATGTTTTAGTACTATTCAACAATGTCGTAGTTACTTTGGCTTACGTGTTAAGTCTATTCAATAATGTTGTAGTTCCTTTGGCTTATGTGTTATAACACATGACACAAAGGAACTATAATATTGTTAAATAGACCTAACACATAAGACAAAGGAAGTATAACATTCTTCAATAGTTCTAACACTTCACACAAAGGAACTACAACATTGTTGAATAGACCTAACACATAAGCCAAAGGAACTACACCATTGTTGAATAGACCTGACACATAAGACAAAGGAACTACAACATTATTGAATAGTTCTAACACTTCACACAAAGGAACTACAACATTGTTGAATAGACCTAACACATAAGCGAAATGAACTACAACATTATTGAATAGACCTAACACGTAAGCCAAAGGAACTACAATATTGTTGAATAGTACTAAAACATAAGACAAAGGAGTTACTCCATTGTTGAATAGACCTAACACGTAAGCCAAAGGAAGTATAACATTCTTCAATAGTTCTAACACATGACACAAAAGAATTATTACATTCTTCAATAGTTCTAATACATGAGAGAAAGGAACTACAACATTGTTGAATCGACCTAACACATAAGCAAAAGGAACTATAACATTCTTCAATAGTTTTAACACATGAGACAAAGGAACTACAACATTGTTGAATAGTTCTAACACATGAGACAAAGGAACTACAACATTCTTCAATAGTTCTAATACATGATATAAAGGAACTATAACGTTATTCAATAGTTCTAATTCATTCAATATCTCTACAGGTCCATCTTTACGTTATATTGAGCTTCCCATCGAGCTCATTACCCATACAGTTCTGCACGAGCTGGCCAACAAATGTCCGAACTTAACATCCATGTTGCTAGACTTCTCAACTGCCATGCAACTGCACGACTTCAACGACCTCCAGACCTTTCCTACCAAGCTCCGTTCAATGTGTATTTGTCTCTCTGAAGTCATCTTCATGGAGGGCTTCATGCGAAAGATTTACAATTTCATCAACGGCCTAGAAGTTTTACATCTGATTGGTGAGCACAAGCCATTCCTTTTAACACGAAGTTACTTTAAGAATGTTATTTATATTTATTTATATCCTCACAAAACATACCTTTATCACCAAGAAGGTTTTTAAGTTTATTCTTTTGTGTAATATCCTTTTTATCTGTGTATGGGATATTATCTTACTTTACGAGATATATCGATCTTATTTTAGTTTTATCCTACGTGACGTACGATTTTACATAATATATTGATATTATTTATATCTTATTTTACGTGATGTATGGATATATTTTTATTTTACGTGATGTATGGATATTATTTTATTTTTACGCGATGGATGGAATATTATTTCACTTTTATTCTTCTTGATGTATGGTTATTTTTTTTTACGAGATGTATGGGATATTATTTTATTTTTGTTTCACGTTATCTCCTTCCCATCGCCATATTTGGACGTCTGTTTGCAACAAGCAACGTTCAGCATCCTCAGGTAAGAAATGTCGAAGACATTGTAGGTAGAATTTTCTATGTTCGACTGTAATTTCTTAATTTTATTTTTCGGTAAGCAAAATCAGGACATGGACGGTTACTTAAAACCGCCTTGAAATTATATTACTAATTTTTAAACTTTAATTTTATTGTCACATCGTGTCTATTCCTATTAGAGTAGTAGGTCAAGACGTTCCCTAATCACGCATTAGTTTTCCTTCAGAGCCACCTATTACTGATTTACACCCATAGATGGCACCAACGCATGAGTAGGTTATATTGCAATTAGTCGATGATCCAGTGTGAAGGCGGAACCTATATACAGTACTATCTCTATTCCATGGATAAAGTCTCACGTGACATGTAGGTAACTAATTCTTCCTATTAGAATTATCATCAATTGGTCAAGCAAATATTTAGGAATGCATACATTTAGGAATAGTATTTGTTTGTTTGTTTGTTTCGAGTTAAGCACAAAGCTACACAAAGGGTTATCTGTGCTCTGCCCACCACGGGTATCGAAACCCGGTTTCTAGCGTTGTAAATCCGCAGACATACTGCTGTGCCACTGGGGGGCAAGGAATAGTATCCATGGGTCAAGCTAATATTTTGGAATGCATACAAGCCAATCATAGCACCCACGGAAACATAAAACTAGTAACAATAAAAATTTATTGCCGCTGATAAACAATACAGACAGGTTGTTAATCCTCAAGTTTATTAGTGATCTACAGAAAATTGTTCAGTAATAATACAACTCAGATAGGTTGCTAATCCTCAAGTTTATTAGTGATATACAGAAAATTGTTCAGTAATAATACAACTCAGATATGTTGCTAATCCTCAAGTTTATTAGCGATCTACAGAGAATTGTTCAGTAATATTACAACACAGACAGGTTGTTAATCTTCAAGTTTATTAGTGATCTGCAGAAAATTGTTCAGTAATAATACAACTCAGATAGGTTGCTAATCCTTAAGTTTATTAGTGATCTACAGAAAATTGTTCAGCAATATTAGAACTCAGATAGGTTGCTAATCCTCAAGTTTATTAGTGATCTACAGAGAATTGTTCAATAATATTACAACATAGACAGGTTGCTAATCCTCAAGTTTATTAGCGATCTACGGAGAATTGTTCAGTAATATTACAACACAGACAGGTTCTTAATCCTCAAGTTTATTAGTGATATACAGTTCAGTAACATTTAGTATTCTTGATTTCATAACACTATGATCTGTATTATCTGAAGTATAAATTGGGGTTGTTTTATAGGTGTATCTTTCTAGTGTGTATTGTTCTTTATGATAGATATACCTCACATGCAAGTTAAATATATAGCAGAGCTAAATTTATAGTATTGGATCTAAATTCTTATTTCAAATTTTCTTAGCTGAGTTTACTAAAAATAAATGAAGTAAAAATAAAAACTGTAATTATTTTCTGATGTTAAGTTCAGCGATATATGAGCCTACACAACTTCACTAACACAGTAAAATGCTGTCCAGACACTGTTGTGAATATGATAAACCTATATTTCGAGATGAACTTATAACATATTGTTACGTATCTGCTTGTTTGTTAATTTCCGGTATAAATTCTTTCCGAGGAACTTCAGAGAAACAAGTCATTTTGTGATTAAACCAGTTTATTCTTTTTGGATACAAACTTTAGTACACAGTAATTCAACAATCAGTACGTTTCTCGTCACTTTAAACTTAACTACTTTTATAATACATGCTATAAACCACAGCGATTCACAATCTCGATAACAAAACACATAGTAGCTCGAAACAGAATCGTAAATTACCCGGAACTCTCTTCATTCTATCCCGCAGGCTTTATCTGCCAGGCTTATATACTAAAAAAGAGGGCGTCTCGAACAAACTCGGTCTTCCCCGATAATTCATGATCATTCGAGAAATTCATCACGTGTTACCAGCGTCACGTGACTTTCGCTGTCGTAACAATATATTCAAAACGCTTGAAGTCAAGAAAGTTAGCGTAAAATACATTGCGCATGAAAGGTATTGCCTGGTAAGCCCTTATACAACACTTTGTTGCCATATAGAAAACGTAGCCTACGTTCACAGTTCCTTCTTAGCGGTATTTATACATGCCACTTACAAAACTTAGAGTTCTCGTGCAATGAAAATTACCAATTGTTTTATATTGTATACATAATTACGTATGTAAAAATGCCAGCTTTGTCTGCATAGTGAGATCACCGTGATTTGTTATATCGGTGCCATTTTACATATTACCCTTACGACTCAGATCTAACTGGAAATGTCCCTTTCTTCATAGCGTCAGGTCAAGTAACCTGAGACAAGTTACAACTACATTGTTTAATTAGTAGTGAACCACTGGAAACCAACATGATTACAGATCAACGAAAAAAGATCAATTCTACAGAGATATATAAAACTGTACTTGTTGAAAAGTAATAAAACTTGATAAACAACACATAATTACAATTAGATATAACCCAAGACTTATTTACAACTGATTTCAAGATTCCGGAATATTCATAACTACGTAATAAGCTGTTTTATAAAACCACTTGCTAGTTTTCTGTTTTCTAACCATACATTTTCTTACTAAATAAACCACACACTCTTGCTAGTTTGTAATATAAAACGGTAACGTCAGATTCGAAAGTGAATCATTAATACTCAGCTTTAAATACTAATTTTAAAACTATAAAAGATTAAATACACTGACCTTAAATTTTTGACTTTATGGTGAAAAGTAATGCTAAAAAAGAATTTATTCCAATGAACAACGAAACTGTTAAAGGAAACTGTTAAACCTTGCACCATAGAGGTAAGGGTGGAAATATGTCAGACTCTTTACTATAGCAAGGAGTTCCCTCCGTGTTACACA